TCGGGCAATCCGTAGGGTCCCACCCTTACATTTCTACTCACCTCCGAGGGCTCCCTAGAGATTTTTGTCCTTTTGCCTGGGCCGCCCTTATATTTTGTAAAGGCGGACCCTAACAGCCGAGAATGTGAAAACAGGCTTAGGGATCCATTTTGTTGTCATTAGGGAGTGGTGGAACGATGATTTTGTAAGGATCCTTACATTTGTAGTGGTGTCGAACGAGGGCCCAAATCTCCAAGGACCATAACAACCATAACTATAACATTATAAAGGGACAAGCCCTCTTGTCTCTTTTTTTTTTTTTTGACAAGCCTGGCTTAATAAACCACCAGTATCCCACCCAGCTTTTTTTTTTTTTTTTTTTTTTTTTTTTTAAGAAAGTGAAAGAAATTTCCATTCATTGCCGGAAACTGGGTCCGGCGTCCCTTACATATATAACGTGACAATGTCGGGCTGGGCGAGGCACTTCCGGCCAAACCCATCCCTGCCACGGTGAAAGAACTGTGTGGGCTGTTCCTCTTGAAATGGACGACCAGCTTCACGTCATTCCGATCTCTGACTAGGCAATGTAATGGAAGAAAACAAGAGCAAGTTGAGAAACCAGAAACTAAACTATATAGTCTATCTACCTGTCAACACTAAGCCCTCCGTCAACTTTCCTATTAGCTATTCCTATCTTTCACTGTTACACCTACCACATTCAAAATTTGAACAAGAGTCGAAAACCTATAATCTAATCACACCAAATCAAAGAGAAAGGGCAAACTCTGAGCTAAACAATTAGAGAAACTTAACAAAAAGCCTTCTTGGACCAGCTGCCTATACAAAGAAGTTAGAGAAACGAATGACAAGTGTTCCATCTTGAGTTGTGTCCACCTTGGCCAATCCCGAGAGATTCCCCCATCTGCTCCCAAACCATTTTACTGCTTTGGCCGAAAATCCTTTCTTTTGAACTCGGTATTCCCAGTCAGCCGATATTGCTTGTTTGATTGCATATTTGATCTCTGCTCTGATTATCGGCGGTGTCAATTGCTCATTCTTTCTAAGTCTGGCGTTTCTCAGGTTCAAAAGTGTCCATATGATGGCACTCTTATTGTCTCTTCAGCATGAGCAAATTGAGTCTGTGGATTGGTTCGCCTGGCTGCTGTTCCAAGGAGGATGAATTCATTCCCCCAGCGAGAATCCACATCAGGAACTGGAACACCTGACTGTCTCCACCAATCCCAAAACGGTCTGGAGAGTTCACAATATAACAGGAAGTGCTGTATGTCCTCCATCCTAGTGCCATGACACAAACCACATTCAGGGGTTGCTTTTACTGTTCTTCTGGCACACCAAGTATTAGTCGGCAGTGCCAAGTGCATCACCAGCCAGAGCACACTTGCATGCTTACTCACCACCAATTCCATTATTTGTTTCCAAAACCTCGGAAGAGCTGTTACCAATCTGGTGGACATGTCCATTATCCAACCCGTTGCCATCCACTTTCTTGCTACCACCCAATTGACATCAGTGTGAGGTGTCATTATCTGGTATCCAATTTTAGTTGTATACTCAGATAGTCCAACCCGTTTGGAATGACATATCGGGTGGTTCCACGCCCAATCTCTCGGATCCACCACTAGCCCATAGGCCGGTGTTTTCAAACAAAAGGGTCTATAAGTCTGTTTTTGTTCCAGCACGCAGACCGGCAACAGTTGGTCAAGCTGTGGCAGAGGATACTGTTCCTCAGAGAGCTGCAAGGATTCCCCCAGTGAATCAGTTCCTCCCCTCACTCTCCAACAGGTGGTGGTGATGTCCACCACTTCCGAGTAGTCTTCAATCCTCCAGATATGGTCTGGCGTCTTGCTGAGAACTCTTGTACCACATCCCTTTCACCGGCACTGGCCCTATTCTCATCAAGTCTACCCATTGTTGCGGTACGGCAATCTGCAATTGATGCAAATGTTGTTCTCGGCGCCACAGTCCCTGTAACCTCGGGGCCAGTTCTTCAGCTGTTTTCCATTGGCCATTTGTCACATCCCATATATCTGCCACTGTACCGATTCCTCTTGACATCCATGCATTACCAAACTCCCGTGGCCCAAAGCATCGAAACGGTMGCCCTTCATGATTGAGAATACAGGGATTATTGAACAGCGGCTGTGTCAACAGTCTTTCATAAATCAGCGGTGGGGTTTGCAGTTTTGGACATACCTTCCTCCAAGCTCTCAATATCCCAGCCCATATCCCAGAGGGCAATCTCTTTCTTTGGTAGTCAGGATTGAGTATTGCCAACCACAGACAACGCAGATCTGTCCATTCTAACCAAGAAAAAATGGAGAATTCTGCTAATTGTCTCCATGGTGTTAAAGGGCTGTGCAGCACAGTTCATGGAATCCATCTCGCAAGAAGTGCTGCTATTTGACGCTCGGGGTCCAGTATAGCTAATCCTCCATTCCTTTTCGGTTGAGTTATTGTTGCCCATGCCATTTTTGGCAAAAATTTATCATCGTTGACCTCCTCCTTCCACAAATAGTGGGTGAGTAAATGACGAATCGTCTGTAGTGCTGGATTGTCCAACTGGTGTATGGCCCGGCGGTACCATAAAGTGGACAATACTGCGTTATTGATAACAGCTGCTCGTCCAAACAAGCTGACACCTTTATACTTCACCCAGGGCATCAGTGCCGATTTCAATCCTGCTATTGATGGTGTCGGGTCTTGAGCCAACTGTGGATCAAATGATACATAATGTCCCAAGAGCTTCTCTGCTATCCCAGGCGCCACTATCCTAAGACCCCAGTTGTGTGGAGGCTGCTCCCCTGGGGGTATCAGCACAGCTGATTTATCCCAATTCACCTTAGCCTGTGAAAGCTGGCAGAACAAATCTATAGTTTCTCTTAGTGCAAGGAACGCTTGGTCATTCAAAGGTGTAAAGGCCACCGAGTCATCCGCAAATGCTTCAGACTTCAATCTCTTTCCAGAGGGCAGCACAAAACCTGGAATTTTCGGGTTAGATCTAATCATAATGTGCATTATTTCCACATACAACAGGTAGAGATACGGTGCCACTGGACAACCCTGCCTGACCGACCGACTCAATCGAATCGGCTCAGACAGCACTCCATTCACACAGACAAGGGAGGTTGCATTCTGCAACAGACTATCTACCGCATGTTTGTACTTCGGTCCAAATCCAAATGTGGTCAGTGCTGCCTGCAAAAATTCCCAGCTAACCCTATCATAAGCCTTTGACAAGTCCAACAGTACTATGGCTAAACTTTCCTCTCCTGCTGCCACTAGCTCTGCTAACTGTTCAACTATCATGACATTATGTAGGATCTGTCTACCCTGCAGAAAGCCTGTCTGCGTCTGGTGGATGAGAGACGGCAACACTTTCTGCAATCTAGCTGTCATTACTTTGGACAAAATTTTGTATAGCACTGGCATTAAGGTTATCGGCCTATAGTTCGCTATATCTGCTCTATCACCTTTCTTGAAGGCGAAGGTGATTATCCCCTGCAGCGCTATAGCAGGTAATGATGCTCCATTCCAAACGGATTGGAGGATCGTCAGCAAGTCAGGAAGTAAGTGCAGCGAAAATCCTCTGAAGAATTGCGCCGGCAGACCGTCAATCCCCGGAGCTTTGTGTAGTGACAAGGATGATACTGCTTCAACCACCTCATGCATAACTATATCGTCCTCCAGCGATTGCCGTTGATGATTCGACAGTTTTCTCTCCACTTTAGACCAAACCTGTTCATGAAATTGGTGGAGCAATTGCTGTTCTGTACATTGCGCTTGCGAGGTGAGCAGGCTTTCATAGAATAAAGATACATTAGCGACTATTGCATGTGTCTCGACAGCCATAGGCTCCAGCGCATCAAACGGGTGCTTGATAGCCAATATCATCAGCTTTTGGACCGGCGGTCGATGAGCTGCGAAAAAGGAGGAGGTCATACGATCTCCTTTGACCAGCCAACCTATTCTTTTATTGTGGATAGCAGTCCTCATTGCTGGCTGAGTTCTTAGTGTCCACCTTTGCTTAATCTCGTCCATCTTTGTCATCAGATTATGTTCTTCTTGCTGCTGACTTGCCACTGCAGCCAGCCTCATTACCTCTGCCAGTTCGTCATTAATATTTTGTAGCTCTGTTCTATTTGCCAAAAGAAYCGACTTCTTGATGAGCAACCCTCTCTGGAATACTATTCTCAACCCTCCCTGAAACCAATCTGCCAGGGAGGAGAACARACATTTAGCAGTCTTCCATTTCGACCAAAATTCATACATAAACTGAGAGAAAGTTGCAGTCTGCACCACCCATTCTGGCAAGACAGTCCTATCCCTACCCATTCTSACATTTATGCGAAGAAAGAATTCTAAAAAAARCGGTAAGTGATCTGATCCTATGTATGGTACAACGAAACATTTCGATAATCTGGGCAACAAAGTGTCCGACGTAAAGAACAAGTCAATACGGCTTCGGGGCAAGTATTGCTGGTGCTGAGCTCCCGCTGCGAAAAAGGTGAAGCCTTTTTCAAAGGGATGCAAAACTCGAAACGTATCAGAAAAACAGTTCGAGTAGGTGAAGTTCATGAGTTGTGTTGCGTCATTTCCAGCTGGTCCCGGTCTCATAGAATCCACCCCTGGGACTAGGGTTGTGTTCCAGTCCCCTCCTAGAATCAGATTGTCTACACCTGGTATCATCCATGGTAAGGATGCAAACATATCTGCTCTCTCTGCTTGTGAAACAGGGGCGTAAATATTAAAGATCGCCCACTGTTCCTGTGCTACTGTTAATCTCACCCACACCCATCTTCCAAACGGGTCAGCGCAATGGTCTGTGACCTGAAATGGCGCTGTTCTGGTTATGAGTATCGCAACTCCTCCCCTGGTTCCTTGAGCTGGAGCCCAAAATTGTTCTCCCAGCCACCAGCCCATTTGCTCCGCAATCGCCGTATCATTCAATTTAGTCTTTTGTAACAAAATAATATGTATTCCTTTATTTTTTGCAAGAGACTTAATCAAAGATCTTTTTGTTGCCACTCTTCTTGAACCCAGTCCTCTTACATTCCATGAGACCAGCCTGATTCTATCCATGATTTCACATGTCGGTCCAGTCTGCACATTTCAGCATCAAGAAGTGGTTGGAGAAGATGCTTTTGTGCCATGGAATATGTGAGTCCACTTGCGTTAATAGTGCTGCATTCCAACAATCATACACTCTGGTATCAATCGCTGTCTGTCCCCCGGGGTTCATGAACAGCTGCAGCGATATCCATCTTAATCCAGTCAGCGGAGCAACTCCCTTTGCAGCAGGGTTGACAATTGCATCTATAATTGGAAAGCAAAGAATATCTGTCCGGCCTTGAGCATTTGTGGGTGTGAGCCTAACCCATTCCATGGCAGGGTAGGGTCTCACTCTGTAGGCCGAAGCCAACCACTTTTGGACTTCCGCCAATACAGTTTCAACTGTCGGTTCCATGTGCATCTCAAAGTGCGGGATAGAAAGAGCTCCTTCTGCTGAGAATGCAGTCATGAGCTGCAGATCCCCCTCCACCGCCAGAAAAACTAAAGGAACGACAACCCAAGGTTGTCCCGCTGCAATAGCTTCTTTGATTGAGCCCTGAAACACTTCCGCTCGCTGGACTATCTGTTCGTTTTGTTCTTGGACATGGGGTTGGAGTTCTCCATCTCCCAATTCATCATCTCCATCCACCATATCAGCCCATGTGACAACTCTGTCATCTGATTTCCGAACTCCTCCGTGACGCTGATACGGTTTATGGCCTATCGTTTTCGGTCCCCCAGAAAGGATTTTTTTCTTTGTACTCGAGGCCGACTCTTTTTGCTGAGTCATGCGTATTTCCGGTCCCGGCGTCGCCTGTTGTTGCATCACTGTCTGTCCTGGTTCAACGGTTAGTCCTTGTGCTATCAAATTTGCTGTTCCAACCGTTGTGACGACTGTGGCGTTTGCAGGGTCCACAGACATTAGCCCCATCAAAGGGCCTGTTCCCGAGGATCCCGCTGCCAGACTCACTGAAACTGTGGCTGTACTCATCGTGGCCGAAAGTGCAGAGACCCCCATCGAGGTGGAGGCATTAGAGCCAGGCAGTTTGTTCTGAACTTGACCTGACGATGATGGGATTCCAGCACTGACTGGTAATCCCCCTGATCCCATTCCAATCCCAGATGCTGATGGGGCACCTGCGTTGCCACTTGGCTTCACAGACCCCATCCCTGCTCCTTTTTTTGGACAAGACTGTTCACCCGACTTGTGGCCATACCATCGACAATCATGACACCACGGAGAATCTTGTGTAACTACTTCCACATTGTGCCATCCCTGGGGTGAACAAAATTTAAGATATTTGGTGACTTTCGATTTTGCCCTCGGGTGAAGGTCAAATCTACGGTTCACAAGTCTAGGTGTTGCCTGATTTCTCTCTGGAGGATAAGCTTTTTGAACCTGACCGTACTCTTTTTTAACTGCGGCTTCCAAGAAGGGCATGGCCAAGAAGGGAACTCTCAAGACCCTGATCCAGAATCTTTGGGCCTGCAGATCTTCCCTTGCCTTGGCCTGCTCTGCCGGGGTCGCCCATTGTTTATAAAGCACCTTACACGGCTTACCTCCCACCACTGCTTTCTCTTCACGTTGAACAGTATCGATTAGCCAATCTCGCAACACATGATTGACTGCCAGATAGGAAATCATATTGGCTCCTTCTGGTCTTAGCCGCCCTTTCTGTCCTTGCACCATGGTGAAATCCCAACCCGATTCAATTGCTCTCATCCACTCTTCTTTTTTTGCGAACGGCACTCCTGCATCCAATCCCTGGAACACCACCAACACTCCATGCCTACGCAGATATCCAACCGTAACTTCCGCGGCCCTGGGGTCTATGTCAACAACGACTGTGTCATTCAACACATCCCTAGTAGTAGCTATGTATTGTTCCGCCGTATTCGGGTCCTCTTTCCCGGTGATGAAGCAAGACCGGACCATTTCACACAGTTGTTCCCTTCGCGAATCCATTGTTGATTTTATCCAATTAGCAACTTATTACAGTCTATCCAATACAATCAAACTCGACTTCCGTCAACCCACTCCACAACTTCTACAAGTTCGACTTCCGTCAATCAACTCCACAGCTTCTACTGACGACTGACTATTGACTGGCTCGTATCTCTATCTAAAATAACGAAGGTGAAGCTTCGCGCCACTCATATCTCCACACTGGCATCTTGATTCAGACGTCCCCTGTGGGGTCGACAAGGCCTACCCTTCAGCACAACACCCCAGCGTCTTTCAGTTTTCAATTTCAGTAAGTTGTATCCGGGGGGCTACGAAAACCTAGCTGTCAACACCACGCACAATCACTATCCAATTTTCCATTCACATCGATGAGTCAGCCCAAAGCATAACCAAACTTGACTCACTACACCACACACCATCCTCTTTCCACTTCGTCAAAATCAGCTGAAGAGCCAACATGGCATATCTTGTTACACAAGCTCAGCAATTTCCACGTCACTATCAATAACCATAAACCTAATTCCAATGATGCCGAGCCTAAATTTGCCGTGCACGCCCAAAAAAAAAACGAAACGATGCGGGCCTCATTTTGGCTGGCGCCACCAGCCATTTCTGTCCCGTACCGGACCCCCAAAATAATGCAGCCGTAATATTTTTATTTTTATTTTCATTTGTATTTGTATTTTTATTATTAGTTTTATTTTATTTTTTATTTGAAGAAACACCCCTTCATAAGCCCTCTATCTCGGTGGTGGTGAGAGAACCKCYAGGATTGAGGGTTTATCGGTCGGGCTGCTCAAGTGGGAAAAGGTACTTTTTTTTTTTTTTTTTGTGGCACTTCCCTTTTTGTATCTTTCACAAAAAAAAAAAAGGGGAAAACCACTCAGGAGTTACAAAAACGAGTTATATGTAATTGCACTATGGGCCAAGATAGAGTTTGCAATTGCAGTTCACAGTTCAGGCAATGTATACATCCCAGCTTTGTGGCCAGGTAGGGTGCCCAAACTCCAATTGCAACCTGTACCTTGCTCCATATATAGTGCAATTATATATAATTCGTTTTTGTGAGTCCCGCATTGTTACCCCCCCCCCCCCCCCCCCCCCCCCCAAAAAAAAAAAAAAAAAAAAAAACCATGAACTTAACTGCCCTTCCACATAGAGAAATTCCGGCGGTTCTCTTACTACCACTGGGATAGAGGCCTTGCTCAACGGGTCTTTGTTTAAAAAAAATACAAAATAAAAAGTAAAAAATAAAAAATAAAAATAAAAATAAATAAAATGAATGGAATTTGAAAGTCTATGACACAACTTGAGAAAGCTGGTGCCTCGCAACAATGCAGCAGTCAGTGGATTTCCAACATCGTAAATCCTCCATCAATCATTTGTTTTTTGTTTTTTTTTTTTTTAATTTTTTTTTATAAAGAAAAGAACTTCTCCAAGGCCTCTATCCCAGTTGTGGTAAGAGAACCACCGGAATTGAGGCTTTGCCTGTCGGGTTGCTCCATATGTTGGTGGGGAGCGACACCTGCTGGAAACCGGGTCCAGCGTCCATCAATCATTTGTTAGTTGGGGAGGTTGACGGGGGGATGAAGAGGATGGAGGGGGGAGTCCATTGGAAGGAATCATATATACAAACAGTAGAAACAGACCTCTCGTAACCAATCCCATGATCCCTGCCTGCCTGTCTGTATGAACCGGAAACGTAGTCTAAAATAATAATAATAATAATAATAATAATAATAATAATAATAATAATAATAATAATAATAACAACAATAATAAAAATAAAAATAATAAAAATAAAAATAAAAATGAAAACTGGCGGACAGCACATGGACAAGTGAAGTAGCGTTTTTTTTTTTGTTTTTTTTTTTAATTCTTTGAAGCCCAACCAATTCAAATACGTGTCAAATCTGGACAGGAGGGCCTTTCAGGCCTTTTTTATTGTCATTATAGTAGCAGCCACATCCATGCTCAAGCCTCCACCGAGGGAACATGCGGGAGCTGCACCCACCAACAGGTGCTATACCTGCTACAGCAGGTGGGCGATACCAGCCAGGGGTCAGCCGGTAGCATCAGGACAGAGCTTCTTCGATGGGCCAGTCACAAGTAGTGGTTAGGTGCCACCCACTGTCCTTTTTTTTTTCCTTCTTTTTTTTTTCCCACCCACTGTCCCAACTGGTTCAGTAGGGGCTGAAATTTGACAAGCAAAAGAAGAAAGGAAAATCACTACCATCATGGTCATCATCAAGGCGCTGTTAATCATCATTATCAGGGCCGTGGTCCCACTAGCAAAGGGGATAGGATAAAAATCCTGAATCTGGCTATGTTTTATGCAGAGATACAGAAAACCAGTTCTATCTCTATTTCCTGCTCCTGTCCTCAAACACGTCCAGATTCAGGCATTCAATCCTATGCTCTTTGCTAATGGGACCACAGCTCAGGGGCCTGAGTACCATCAATATTAGGTTTTCAAATTTTATTTCTGAATTTTCTCTTCTTTCGTTGTCCCTTCATTAACGAGTTATCATTCTCTGTTCTTTTTTTTTTTTTTTTTTTAAACCAAAACACAGCCACGGGGCAGCTTGAGGCGCTGGTAGGAGCAGTCGTCTCAAGCTGTTCCGGGCAGGGCTCCATCTATTGGTGGGGAGCAGCACCTGCTGGGAAGCGGGCCCAGCGTCCCAATGTACAAAGTTGTGGTATCCAGAGAGGTATATGTATCGTACATGCATATGCAACTTGATGCAAGTTCTGTCCTATGGTACATATGTATCCCTGTCTGTCTGTATGCGTTATCCGCAGGGCAATCCTTGTCCTTGTTTCTCAGCTAATGTACAGTAGATGAGTAAATGAGATGTTATGCAGGCCCTGCGGGAGCCTCTCCTCTCCCTTTGGGGATATGTTCACATTGTTTCTTGTACTTGTGACTGTGGCTGTAGTCATTGTGAATGCTGTAAGACGAGTGTGATGAAGCTCATTTCTCTATTGCAGCAGATCTCTGCTTCTCTGGCTCCAATGCAGAAGATAGAGGTAGAGACTSTCCCCGGCCGGCTTGAGTGACTGAGGGGTAAGGGGGCGATGGTGGGGTGTTTCAGAGGTTGGGGTGTGCGAAGTGGGGGAGTTTCAGAAGCGGGGGTGTGCGTGGTAGGGGCGGGTTGTCAGGCAGGGAGGGGAAGGATGGGAGGGTGGGCTCCAGTCAGGATAGCAAAGAGATCTCAGTCACTCATGAGAATAAAGTCTGTTGGTTGGTAGATGATTTGGAAATGCTGCGTTGGCAGACGTTCCCATGCCGCTTCTGTCTGAAGCCAGGGGTGCCATGTAAGTGTGTTATCGTCATTGAGAGTGCAGAGTCTGTGATTTGGATCGGTCCATGTCTCCATAAAGGAGGTTCGGAGTTCTTGCCGTTTTTGTAAGTCTGGTTGGTCTGTTATTCTGGTCTGCATATCTTGATGTGCTGCCTGAGTGTTTGCCGTGATGGTGTCAATGATTGTGGATCGAGCTTGCATGTAGCCATAGTTATGTTGTTTTCTCTYGTAGGAGCAACGCATCCTCCATGTTGCCATCAGCACGGTGAGTCTGGAGTACGCAAATAGATTAGCTTTGAACGGGGTCCATTCTCCTGCGTCGGCTGGAGTGRCCTTTAGCAGGATGGTGGCCACTCCCCACGGGAGGTGGMAATCTGTGAGATGATGCCACGCTGCATCCCACCATCTCCATAATTGGAGCACCATTGGGCAGTCCAGCAGGCAGTGTTCTAACGTGGCTCTTCTGTTGGGCCGCGTGCGGGAGCAGTACTGGCACAGTGGAGACAGTAGGCSTTTTTCTTCTAGGTCCGTTCGTGATGTGATCCAGTCTGGAGTGGGCAAACATCTGTGCGTGATTTGCCACTGCAGGGCCCTGTGGCTCGTTGGACGAATGTGGGAGAGTGCGGACCACCGGAAGAGGTTAAAGTCCTGAGCTTTGAGGGGGGAGTCTCGCTCCCATCGTTTGATAATTCGGTCCAAGGTTGTGATCGGTTTACGYGCCGCTCTATATCCTCTCTTTACTGAATATTGATGTAGGGACATCTTTTGGGAATTCCCCCATTCCCACTCCCATTCCGACGGGTCAAACAGGAGGCACTGCAGTGGGGTGGTGGGTTCATAATGGAAAAACCCATCTTTCTGGTTGCCCACCACCCTAACTCTGGTTAAAAGAGATGCAGGRAGTTGTGTATCCAGTTCATCCTGACGATGCAGTGCTGACCATCTGGCCCCTGGCATGAGTGGACAGTAGGCCTGAAGTGAAATCTGGGGGCCCTCGGTGTTTTGCACGTTGTACAACACCATGGGGAGAGCTAGGGAGTCTGTTGGGACGACCCAGTCGCCTTGGGCWAATCGGGGGCCTTTTTTGAGGATTCGGATCCATGCCAACGGGATCGCTTCTTGGATTTCCTGTAGGCCCTGTGCCATGTTTGCTATATGGCCAATCTCAGTGCGGAGCTGATCCACTGAGGCCCATGACCGAGAGGGAATATCCCATATGTCCCCTATCTTGTAAACCCCTTTCTCCACCCATCGTTTCCAGACGGAGTTCCTTTTGAGAGAGAGAGGCAGGCCATTACTATCCAAGATCTGCGGATGGCCGAACAGGGGTTGGCGCCATATCTCCTCCCACTTGAGTGGTACGGGAGTTTGGGCCGGCCCCCTTTCTCTCCAGAGAGAGATCATGGCCGTCCACAATGGATCCACTTTGAGGTCTTGTCTAGCCCGGCCGGAGGGCGTGTTGTCAGTGTCTGTCCGGGGACCACAGGGGATGGACCACCATCTGTTTGTTAGCCATTGGAGGGAGTGCACTGGGCGAAGGGGATGGGAAGGGGGGGCTAGGCATGCTAGCTGGATTTGTGCATAACCGGCCCAGGGGATGTCATTTCCTAGTAGGAGGCGCACCAGATACTTAAAAATAAGGGCCTTTATCTCCTCTTCCCGATCTATGACCCCTAGTCCTCCTTGGGATCTGGGTTGCACAATAACCTCCCATGCCACTCTCCTAATCGCATGAGTGTCTTTGTGGTCATTTTTCCACAG